AGTCTCTTCTGTTAAAACATTCACTAAACTCTGTGTTATTTATTATTTAAGATTCGGTTAATTGCGCGTTTTGTGATGATCATATGAGCTGACTTATTTATATATCAGATTATTTTTGCTCTCCTGTAATTAATTGTTCAGCTTCTAGGAGATAAACGTGTAATCTGATTAATTTAAAACCCGAAAAGTAGATATAAGGAGCTCAGATTCTATTAAATAAAACTAAGACAAGAGTAAGATTTGTGAACGTTTTCTAATAAATCGGATGAGAGAGAGATTCTGCTGATCGTTGATGCTGAAGAAGAGCGCACAATTCACTCCTTCTCATCATCATTATCGCGTTTCTTACAGAGATGTGATGTATTCCAATAAATAATAATAATAATTTCACAGTTTCCACGAAAATTAAGATTCGTTTTGTCTCCTCGCACTTTTGTTTGTTTATTGGTTGATTAATTTTGTCGAAACAAACACACCACGAGCTACATTTGGACCAGAAAAATCTGGATGAGATGAAATATTTCAACATTTTTGCAGAAGATAAAACACATTTCCTAAGATATAAGAGACTGATTTAACCGTTTGGAGATCATTACGCACACCTTGATCCACTGGCAGCCATCGTGGATCCAAACTAAACTCCACTGCACCAGACCTGAGAACAGATGAGTTGCGCAAAATGAGGGGGGTTTCCCTGGTGCTATTTCGATCAAGATTAATCGAAATCCTGCTGCAATTATCAGCTGGTTAGACGACTTTGTAGTTTGGCTGAAACCAAAACAGCCCCAGACTTTAAACCCAACAGAGTCTAGTTTTCCTGCGCTGCAGCCATGTGGTGACAACTGCTGAGCTCCTCGTGTCTTCACTTGTTCAATATGTGGAAATTAAAAACAAAAGGTGGTTAAGTGACTTTGCTCACACACGAAGGAGATAGTTGAGTTGGGAGTGTCATCCGTTTATGGCTGTTTGTGCAAGTGCAGGTAAACAAGCTGAGGATGTCTGCGCAACTTCTCTCTTTTCTTTCTTCCTTTGTTCAAATTAGAGATGTTTAAATTTAGCCTGTAATTCATGGGTGTATTTTTTTTTTCCCCACAACAGCAAGATTAGACACTTTTCTAACGTTTTCGTGTGAATGTGATTGTTTAATTAAGAAAAATATTGTGTTAATTAAAGAGCAGCAGCATCCAATTATTACAAATGAGAAGAAGCGTGTGTGTTTCTTCTTATTATGTGTCATGATTAAGGATGTACAGCTTTTATATTTATCTGGAAATAAACCTAAAAATGTTGATTACATCCTCAGTTTTCAAATTGGATCAGGGACGCTTTAACTAAACAACACACTGCATGTTATTTTTTTCCTTAAAGAATTGGACCAAAAAAAAATCTATTTTGCCTTCTTCCTTCCAACCAAAGCAAACACATTTACATGGAATCTAAACAGGTAGCAGCGCAGCCACTGTGCTACAGTTTATCAGGCTTCACCTTCCAGCTGCTGGAGCTTAAGTTTGCTGCACAGATTCAGCAAACAGAGGAACAAATCTGCAAACAAGAAGGACAAATAATTAACACAAACTAATCGCTTTTTGAACTATTAAAGGGAATATTATGGCTCCAGTTTTATGAATCCGTCTGAAGCTCGTCCAGTGTCTTGCTTTCAAGTGTGTTTGCATAGTTTGAGCATATTTGTAAAATGATACACAAACTCCTGAAAAAAACGTTCTTCTAATGCTTGGAGAGAGCTCAAAGGCTGCAGGTCACTGACGCAAACAAACAGGAGGACGTGTAAGAAACCCAATATGTGACAATATGATATTATTTACAAAATGCCTCTCAAGCATTGAAATATGGATTATCGAGTGGAGTGGAAGCTTGAGTTTGCACTTCTTCTTTTTTTTTGTGCGCACAGAAACCGTGCATGTTGCTAAAGCACCGCACACACCGCATGAAGCAGTGGAGCTCAGTCGTCTGCTGGGCTGCACAGAACAAGAATCCGTCCTGCAGGAGCTCAATAGAAGGACGATATCTTCAAGTGGTTTGAGTAAATCCAATCCTGCACATTAGATGCATGTAAATAAGCACGCGCCTTTATCTGTAAAGCATCTCCTGCAGTTGTGTTCAGTGAACCTCAAGATTGGTTTAAGTCTAAAACAAACTGGGACACAGAATTCATAGAAAAGCCGTTTTGGATTAAGGGAGAAAAGTGAGGATCAACAGTCTCCGAAGCTTCGAGGTCCATCGCTGCACAATTTGTCTGACAAGTGATGCCTTTCCTTCACAGGCGGTATGAACAATTCAATTCGACATGGACCATTTTGGTTGCTTGTGCGCAGTACAGGCATGTGACAGCCATGTAGAAGCTGGAAATCATGCGTGGAGGCTCCGCAGCGCTAAACGGCCTCCAACAAAGGACCCCAGTCAAGAAAAACACCAGAAACCCAAAACAGTATCTAGGAATAAATATTAGTACATTTAAACAGCTGCATGACGTTTAATAGTCCAAAAATAGGAGACCCCATTATTATTCATATTATTTTTATTGTTATTGTTATTATTAGTAGTAGAACAAGGTTTGGTTTTAGCCCATAATAAAATAATTAAAGCAAGAATAATTATAATGGTGCGTAATTATTACATCATTTTTTCTGACTTCATTGACATTTAATATAATTATTCCAATAACCTCCAATTCTCTCCTGCAGCCATGCGCTTCAATAATAATATCTCGCAGTTGCTGTTTTGCGTCATTAATCAGATAAACGTGTATGAAAATGCGCTGATGATCCCCCCGCTGTTCCTGCTACAAGCCGGACATCTATTTTGTCACAGAAAGAAAAAAAAAAAAAGAAAAAAAAACCCGCATCAAGGTGCATCCACGTCTGAAAATGAAGATGGAGCAGTTTGCGCAGACCTGCGATCCCTCAGCACTGACCTTTTGGTTATTTCAGCCACCAGAGGCACCTCAGTGGAAACAAGTCGAGCACGTTTTCCCCCCACAGTAAACATTATCCTTGACGCATTAGTGGCCTGGGAGCTGCGCAGGACGGGGCAGGTGGGGGCCACAAGCGGTGATGTGGTGCTAAATTTAAAAAAAAGAAAAGAAAAAAGAAAAAAAAAAATAGTCAACTCCAAGTTGGTCGTCTTAAGGCGAAAGAACTCATCATGCAAACAAAAATATCTCCAGAGAGAAACGTTCATTTACACCTCCTCACAACTGACTTGTGCTGGTGTTAGGGCGCGCACTGTAATTTGTGCTTCATCCTGAAAAGGTGGGAAAACTACACCAGATATACGTTTCCCTCCTCCAGTCCTCAGAGCTGTGCGTGCTGAAACAAATACTGGGGAGCACTTTGTGTACATTTTTTTGGACCCTCAAAGCCGCTTTTCAACAATATTCCTAATTGCACGGCTGTTACAGGGGTGCTGTTTGATGTTTACATGCGCGCTGATCCCCTCAGATTTGTGCAGAGATGAAGGTCAGTCACGCGCCGTGGCCTTTTTAAAAAATATGACACGAGAAAACCCAAAGCATGTGTCAAAAACCGGGAGAGAGAGAGTGAAGGCGCAAAGTTATGGCGTGTGTTTGTTTCTCGTGTCGGGCAGCAACAAATCTTTCTTATTGCTTGCAAGTGGGGTTTCTCTCTGCAGCGAGTGCACGTATGCAGAGGTAGTAAAGTTGGAAATAATCCCTTCGTAAGACACTGGTCTGCAGGCTTTGAGCCTGAGAGGCAATTATGTAAAGGTCAAGAAATAAAAGGTAATTATTTTATCACAGAAGAGCTCCAAAAGCCTGTATACTATTAACGCTTGCTATGCGTAATTGGCTAAAAAAAAATAAAAATAAAGAGGCAACATTTGGCCTGTCCGGTGCAAAGCCTTCGTGCAAATCAAAGGGGCTTCCACTTTAAACTGAAGGAGTGACAATGATCGAGTTAATAATAGCACTTTAAAGTGTAATGTTCGTTTCAGGGGTCTGAATAAATCAAATAATACTCGGTTTAAAATTGGCACAAAAGTTAAACCTGCCTGCGGTTTGTTTTATTTATTTATTTTCAAACTGCACGACTAGAAGGGATTCTTTCCAAAGGTGTTCGCCGTTTGATGGCTTCATTTTCAGCAAACCGTTGTGCCATGAAGGGATTTGCTTTTGGTGTGTTTTGCAAAGTGTAACAGCCTCGATTTTTGATGCGTAAAAGACAGAATTAATAAAAACATGGGCGACAAATAGCTGAGAAAAAAAAAGTCTGATAATCCTTAAGCGCATTGAGATATAATTTACAAACATCTCCCAGCTAATTACATTACTCAAAACCAATCATTCATTTCCTCCCATTTCCTTAATGATGCCATTTAAAAGCTTGACATGAAGGCTGGTGTAGCGGAGCGTAAAGCCACCCAAAGTCAGCTTTTCACATCACCATTTATTTTATTTTGAAAGGGTTAATTAATATTACAAAAATAAAGTATGACCAGTAAATAAAAGTAATCACAACGTTTGGTTATTGAGGTTTAAAATGCACTAACTGATGCGCTTTTCTGAAAATCTGAACGTGTATCAGGTGGTGTTTCTTTGGGATGGCCGCCAACGGCAACTTTTACGCATCTTTTCATCCAGCGTCACATCACTGTTCCCAGATCTGATCCAAAATCTTGATATTGCAGTATACTCACCCTATCTGTGTCAATAACAAACGCATTCATGGTGGCATATCCCCAGTGTTGCTTTCTGATGGGATAGTAGGACGAGGAGGAGGAGGACTGGAGGAGGAGGGTGGAGGGGAATCTCTGCGGACTTGTCATGTCAAACTTTTGGACCAATGGCGACGCGGCTCTGTGCGATCTCAAAACTCGATGGGAGAAGTGGGCCAATGAGCGGGGGAGACGCTGTGGAAGCCCGGCCTCCTGATTTCAACAGATTGAAATGTAAGCCTGTCTCCGGCGCCGTCAGGAAACAGATCGAGAATTTTGTCCTTCTTGTTCCTTATCGCACAAGAAGATTTTTCTTGGACGCGATTGTGGGGACGGTGGACACGCTGGACGCGGAGCAGGATCCACGCAGGAGGCACAACCCGGACACCGTATTCTTCATTTGCGGCTTTAACACGATGGGTGAGTTCAATGTTGGATCGCTTTTTTCCCCTTCTCTTGACAGGGATGCAGCGAACGGTCCCACCGTCCTGCACGATAAGTAGGTGGTAGTTGGGGTAAGTTTAGCCAGATATTATCGGCGTGCGATGTTTTGACTGGTCGGGGGAGCCGTTAATCCAGGAAGGAACCAAGACGCTGAATTATAATGTGTCAATTACGCACGAGTTTTGGCATCGGGGGCTGCACATCCGTGTGAAGTTTAGCCTGCGTGTAACGACTACTATCAGTCAGCTATTAATCTGTGCTTTTCACCCAAACATCACATAAAACTTAAAGCGACTTGTTTAAAGTGAACAGGGTGGTGGGAATAAATAAAACGTCAAAAAAGATTCGCATGTGCGTAATTCTTTAATTCGCTGTGAAGAGCTTTGGCTACATGCTGCACGTATAAATCACAAAAGTGGAATATTAGATTGAAACACAATCAGACTGTTAATATAGTTGCTGTTTATGATTCCTGTCATTAATATCAGAGAAATGAGGCCTCATAGACGCGCTTTAACCCGGGTCACTGACAGTGCGTGCTGGGCCTTGTGTTGGTTACCTAACCGCTGTCTTATTGTTGTGCCCTTTTTGTGTGTTTGTTTTCACCACCAGAGCCAGCCTTCGGTGAGGTGAACCAACTCGGTGGTGTTTTCGTGAACGGCAGGCCGCTCCCCAACGCCATCCGGCTCAGGATAGTGGAGCTGGCGCAGCTCGGGATTCGACCTTGTGACATTAGCCGGCAGCTGCGCGTCTCCCACGGCTGCGTCAGCAAGATCCTGGCCCGCTACAACGAGACCGGCTCCATCCTCCCGGGGGCAATCGGAGGCAGCAAGCCGCGGGTCACCACACCCACCGTGGTCAAGCACATACGGACATACAAGCAGAGGGACCCGGGGATTTTTGCCTGGGAGATCCGGGACAGGCTACTCGCCGACGGGGTTTGCGACAAGTTCAACCTGCCCTCCGTCAGCTCCATCAGTCGGATCCTGCGCAACAAGATCGGGAATCTGTCCCAGCAGAGTCAGTACGAGTCGGGCAAGCAGGCGCCTCATCCACCGCCACAACCAACGTTACCCTACAACCACTTGTACTCATACCCGACCTCCAAAGTGCCCACTCCCCCTGGCATGCCCACCCTTCCCGGACACATGGCCATGCACAGGATATGGCCCTCCTCGCACTCTGTAACAGATATTCTGGGGATACGGTCTATTACAGAGCAACAAAGTAAGCATGGCTGCACGGAGGGCGGTTACATTTGTTTATTGCTCTGCATTTATCCAACTTTTGAAGGGGTTTTGCGTGCAAGAGTGCGAATGTGCGTGTGTGTTGGGAGAGAAAATGGGCATATTTTTTCTCCTTTAAGTTAGTCTAATTGTTTTTATAGGCCTCCAAAAGCAACTATTGGAACGTTATAAACTCGCAGGCCTCTATGGGGAGAGAGAGCTTAAATGCCATTTGACCTGCCGGCTGATATTGATTTGAAAGAGAGGCAGGTTAGTTCAGAAACAGATGGTCCGACTTGGGTAATAATTAAGGAGGCGGATGTGGAATATTAGAAGGAGAAGGGCGCAGAGACGAAGTGTACCAAAGTGAGGTGTGTGTGGAGAGTTTGCCACGACATTTTAGTAGGTATTCAGCGCCTTTTTCAGGCCTCGACGCTCACATGCAGATGCGTTTTTCTGCTGCTTGTGTTGTGTTTGTCGCGCCAACATGCAGGTAGAGGCCCAGATAACTTGTACTCGAGCGCTGTTTTGGAAACAGTGAAACAGGATCCGGCATAAATCAGTGTTAATGGTCGGCTCGGTGGTGTGAGAGGGATTTTCTTTTTGTTTTTTTTTCGAGAGCTTGTTTTCCCAGTGGCAGGAAGGGAAGTGCTGTCTGTCCATATCGTAAGAATCCTGTCAGGATCCAAAAGGGGGGGCTGCCATGCAGAAACACGCCCCGGCTCCTCTCCACTTCCACCGCCGCCATGCGTAAAAACTTGAACTCGGGAATCTAAACAAGACAAATGCAAGGCAGATATCCACGAGAAAATCACACAGAGGGGAGGAATGTGTTTGGAGAGGCTGCTTTTACAAACAATTTATGCATTTCGAAATTATTTGCAGATGTTTGTGGCAGGTTTTTCTTTTCTCTCTCTCTTTTTTTTTTGGACGTTAAGGTTTTAGATGCATTTGGTGAAGTGAGAGCTGACTTGCAGTCTTGTTTAAAATTACATAAAAAAAAACAGAAATTGAAAATGTCAGATTAAAAAAAACAAAAAAAACATGCAGGTTTAATATCGTAGGTGATTTTTATCTGAGGTAATATTTATTTTGACGCGCACCGAGGCAAACACACTGCATGTGCAAAACTGCTGCGAGTGAACTCAATCCATCAAAAAATACAATCTCAACAAGTACAGCGCAACAAGCATTTTTTTGTTTGAATTTCTTCATCGAGTTATGACATTGGTGGCTTTGCTTTTCCCATTGTAAACATTTGGGAACTCAGTGTAATTTATTATCCATTACGCACAAAAAGAGGGAGACGGTGAAAGTAAATTTAATTTGTCCCAGGACGGTTTGGTGGGTTAAAATGTCCCTGACCCACCAGAGAGACAGAGTCGTCTTACTTAAAACCCTCTTGAACTGGGCCTCAATCTTCATCTGATCTCCAAGAGGAACCAAAACATTTAGTCTCATCCAGTCTAAACACACTTACTTTACGGCAAGTGAAAAAAATATGACAGAAAATTTCACTTTCTCACTCATAATCATGAAAAGATGAAAAAGGTGAATCCTGAAGAAAATTACTGAAGCAAGAGTAAATATCTCAAACGTGTATTTAAGAAGACAGAATCTCACTTGCAGACAATTGGGTATGTTTTGTTTAGTTGACCAAGAGCAGAAATGAACATTTTTACGCACTCGAAGGCCCATTGATGTATATGGAGTTCGTGCGTAAAATGACAAAATCACCGTGCTCAAGTGCAAAATGTCACAGGGTTTATTGTCTTATGCAACCTGGCTGCTAACCTGCGGCTGATGGATGAGTAACAGCGGCCTGTGCCGGCCTTTTTTTTTTTTTTTTTTTTTTAAACCCTCTAATCTTAAAAATCTCTTCCTGACTTCCCTCTCTTCTCTTCTCTCTTTTTTTCTCTTTTGCCCCCCCAGTTAGTGACAGTCCATCCTTTTCCAGCGCCAAACTAGAAGAATGGAGCGCTATAAACAGGACTAATTTCCCAGCAGCAAGCTCTCCACTAGTCAATGGTGGCATGGATAAACCGCATTTAGAACCTGAAGCAAAATACACACAGGTAAAAATATGGAAACCTCTCATTATTATTTTTTGTGTAGCCTCAAATACAAAAGGAATTAAAATAGTCTTCACTCAGCCAGGCTATTAATTTAATTGCAGTCTTGAGTTAAATATTTTTTAATAACTATGTGGCCTGGAAGTTTCCCCTTTCACAGCATTAATGCGCGCCGTCTGTTGGATAACAAGTAATGGTGCATTTTTATTATTGCTATTATTCTTTCTTTACAGTGGCCGCTTTAGGTGCTGCTGTCTGGTCAGTGCTTTTATGCAGAATTGCAGTGTAAATTATGTCATAATTAGTAGATCAAACAGTTTTGAATAACCTATTGTTATTAGTTTATAGATTTTTTTAGAATTAATCATGGCGTGTTGAACGCTCAGACGCTAGTTGGAACCAAGAATAAGCGCCAGTAATCAATAGTCTGTTTTCGGTTTCTTGGTAAATGATTCTGTCATACAGGATTTTAATGGGTTGGCTTCAGCTGAGGTCTGAGTCAAGTCAAAAAGGAACAACCACCATGGCGTCATTTGTTTGTTTAACTCCTTTTTATACGGGAAAATGGTTTCAGAAGGAGATTTTGTCTAAAACAACAGTCGTGCAGGCCCAAACCTTTCAGGATATTTATCAGTAGTTAAAGTCAATAAAGGAATGTGAAAATAAAATCCAAACTATAACAATTAAGACTAATAATTAACACACACTCATACTTTTATTTTAATTAAAATTATTAAAATTTTATTTTCCTAAATTCTTGCAAATTAAATGTATGATAATCCAAAATTCAGGGAAGGTTGTAATTTAAATATAGCTAATTGTGATTTTTATGACCTTCTTCCATTTCTTTTGCGTCAAAAAATTAATATTTGCGTTTCCTACAAAAGGTTCTTCACAGGCCTGTGCAGCACTTTTGGTTTTCCAGCGCAGGTAACAAACGAAAGGTCACGATGCCAACGCTTGTGTGTGTGTGTGTTTGCGCGCATGAGTGCGTAATTTTCTTTTCTCTCATTTTGCAAGAAAACGTTTCCAATGCGCATAATTTATTTTGCCACTTTATCACAGAGGGGGCACTTTTTCATGCTCATTATGCAGAAAACAGGGCCGATGCTGTGGAGATCAGGAGTGGACCAAAAAAAAAAAAAAAAAACAGAGGGCGAGCCATTAAAGGCAGAAAATAACAACTCTATAAATTACCGAGGTTTACTGCATGAAAAACAAAGAACGGTGAAGCAAGTAGTTGTTCCAGTGAAAGAGCGCAGGATTAACTGCGCCTTTGTCACTCACAGGCTGCAGCCTTTAATGCTGAACACACTGGTGTGTTTGTGAGACAGACACACAAACTGGGACACAAAGCGATGTCATGTTCAAACATGGAGGCTGAAAGAGCCCCAACGTTTCACATTTCAAAGCTTCCTTATGGCAGCCTGGGATTATATTTTCCTAAACTTTGTCTGTGTGAAGAGAAACACCGAAAACTTTTTTTATTTTTGTCAAATATCAGCAGGCCAAAATCACAGACTCCTGTTTCCCAGGAAGGCCAAAGAGTTGCGGTTAGAAACATGTGGCCTATAGGCGCTTCTCAGAGGGCAGCGCGGGCAGATGCACCCATGGGACCGTTTCCTCTGGGACGAAGAGGAGCATCATTAAAATAGATTTAAGGTTTAGTCTGTGCGGCGGCTCCGAGCTCAACCCGATGAAAAACTATTTAAAAATTCTGCAAAATCTACTTTTCGTTACTAAAAAAAAAAGCTGCGTATAATATTCAATTCAATCTTTATTCTTTCTAAATTAGCGTTCTTGCAAATGTTTTACTGATTTATTTGAAATACAAACAGAGTGACAAGTTAAATAATTTAATAAAATAAAATAAAAGTCTGTCATTTATTATTCATTCATTCAATTCTGGCTGTGCTTGTGCTGAATAAATCAAAACACTGTCAAAAATGATGATTATTAACATGCTTTGATTAGCAAAAGATGATTTATTATTAAATATATTCTCTATTAGGCTATTTTAAAATGCTGCAGTCAGTCTATTTCTATTATATGAATTTGTAAATATGTAATAATTATTCCTCCACTGTTATTCTAAGATTTAAATATGTGGCATTTTATTGAGTTTGTAGATAAATGGGTGGTGGACAAAATAACAGGTACACCTAACAAACACTGTGATCTGATTCAGGAGCAGAGACATAAACACAGCCTGTGTGGAGGACATTTTTCTTTTTGTTGACTTTGTGTCAGACAGGTGCTTATTCACCTCTGTGGTTATTTGCTGTTCTTCTATTGCATTTAATTTGAAAGGGTGCTTTTTATTATTTTGCATATGGACTCTGTGTGTGTGTGTGTGTGTGTGTGTGTCTGTGTGTGTGTGTGTGTGTGTGTGTGTGTTGCATATTTCCATTGGTGGAAGATGTGGTAATCATTACATGAAAAGGTTGTGGAGGGAAAAAAAGACACTTTTAGCCTGCGTGATGAAATAAGCATCAGTACCTTGGAGTCAAGTGAAGACACAGACACCCACAAACACCGACAGACACCCACAGACATCCGCCCAGACACCCACAGTCGCCCACAGACACCCACAGGCCCGTGTGGACACGCACAAAAACAGCTTCTTTTTTTTTTTTGCTCTGCAGTTATGTTTTATAATCACCACAAATGTCCATTTTCCTCATCTCTGTTTTAAAGACCCTGTCAGTCGAGTGAATCTGCACGAAACTAAGATGGGGCAACTCAGAACGATCACAATTGTAGAAATCATTCTCAGTAGTCGCAGACCACCCAGGAACAGAAATTCTGCCTCCCTGCTGAAATGCTTTGGTGAATTCCACAAGTTAAGTCCTGTCGCTGTGCCAGAGAAGCAAAGCCCATTCATGCTTCGAAGCCCCTCCGCTCTGCCTCATTCTCTATCATATTTCCCCTCTTCCTGCCTTTTCACTCTCAATCTATCATGACATCTGTTTTGTGGCGCCCCCGACCAGCCTGTCTCCCATCGTCTGGCGTGGTATATCAACGCCCGCCGTCCACTCTCGGGGTAGAAAACAAGGCCCATATAGTGACGGGCAATCATGCATGTATGGTTTTTATACTTGTTTAATATGTTCCAGGGGCATGAGAGCGCATAATTGATCATTCGTACTTTCATCGGAATTGGGAAAATGGGTTTTTTATGTGGTGGCTGTGAAGTTTAGAATTGAAGTCTGTGCTGTTTATAATTCAGGCAACATCACTTTCAGTTTCTGCTCTGCAGCAGGCCTCAGTTTTTTCCCCTCTTATTACAGCAGCTGCCTGTTTACCTGGGATGAGGTCACTATTTTTTTTCCCCCCCATTTGAGAAGATATGTGATGAAAACAGTTAAATATGACACCGGGAGCCAAAAGACCGAGCGTCCTTTCAGACATAAAATGCAGATGTTCCCATTTCTGATCTCTTTTTCTGCTCTTTCCAGACGCCGAGTGGATTGCCCACAGTGAACAGCTATGTCACAGCGCCCAGCATCCCTCCCTACCACCCTCCCACCCAAGTGTCACCCTACATGGGGTACAGCGCCACCACGTCGGCCTATGTGACCGGACCCACGTGGCAGCCGGCCAGTGGCAGTGCTCTATCTCCCCGCAGCTGTGACATCGCCGCCCCCCTGGCCTTCAAGACCATGACGGCCAACCGTGACGCCATCCACCCGGTCGCCGCCTCGGCGCTGTGAAGTCACAGACTGATTGGGGGGGGGAGGAGGCGGAAGGGGGGGAGAGATGGGAGAGGACGAGGAGACTCCGAGTCTGTCCCTCCCGTGGCTTTCGTCTAGCTCCCACCGCCACCTTTTCGATGAAGGACTCGGGGCCCCCACCAGGACCCATATTTGCGACGCCCTCCTCCCCTTCTCCCTTCCAGCTAAACACACTCAGACCAAAGACACACGAGGAATAAACAGTCTGTCAATTCTTTCCAGCAAAGCGTGTTGTCTGAAAAGAACTGGCAGGACAGGTGTTCTGAAGGACTGATGCATGACTGCTCCTCCATCCATCAACGTAGTCCCTCTCAGATTCTTTACTGCACACTTCTGCAAATGTCTGTGGGCAAAACGGGGTAATGTATAACTTCATGAATATGCAATCCAAGAAAAGGGGAAAAAAACTTTGCATTAGTGTTTCAGGGTGCTTATTAATTGCTATTGTTTTTTTTGTTTTTTTAATGTTTGTATGCTTTTTGTTGTTGTTGTTTATGATTTGATAAAACTTATGGAGCATTTGTTTTTTTTTTTTTTTTTTTTTTCCCCACTTCTCTGAAAATGTAGCTTTTGCAAGAGCTCCAAAAAGGGAAGTTTATTTATTAGATTAAGGTACGTTGAATGAAGTGCAATTAGCCTTACAGAAAGCATGGACGTCTCCACGCACATGTAGACAAAATTGGCATTGGTCTCACGTTGGAGTCTGGAGCATTAACAATTGACAAATGTTGCACAATGAAATTGAATGTATCTTATTAAATTGTTATTGGTCTTCATGGAGTTTGCTGGTTGTTTTGGGGGAATCCTGCACCTTCACGGCTAAAAATAATTTCCAACTTTCATCTCTCCTTCTGCCAGCTGTGCTAAATTCAAGGTATTGTGGGCTGTTTTACATGAGCAGGAAACTGCTTTTCATGAAAAAAAAAAAAGAGAGAGAAAGAAAAAAAAAAAGCGTGAGCGGCTGTACCAGGCCTGTATTTTCTATTACCAGGCGTCACGGCTCACTGAGAAAGTTCATCAGAAATGCTTTGAGCGCACACAGTGATTGTCACCACATAAAGCCATTCTTTTCAAAAAATCTTTTGGCCATTAAAGCAGCACAGATCGGTACAATCTTCTCACCTCATTACATTTAATGTGACTCTTTCTGTGTTCATAAAAAATTATACCTGTGCATTAGCTGAGCCACAGAGGAACATATAGTTTAGAGTAAATCAGATGTATATTTTTAGTGCTAAAAGAAAAAAAAAAATAGTCGTAGAAATTGTGTGAAAATCTAATTTATCTAAAAGAATTCATGATTACACTGAAAGTAAAGTGATAAAAATATAGTGAATTTTCATTTGGATTTATAGAAACAGCTGACTTCACTACAGCCCTGCTATCTTTTTTTTTTTTTTTTTAAATGAGAAGGTCGTGCATTTTAATGTCTTTTTTGTAATTTTCTCCAGTCGTAAAGTCACAAAGGATTTTTCAGCGGAGTTCAGTGGAAGAAGCAGTAAATTAGAACATTGCTGTTGCATGAAGAATTGGAGATGTGTGTGCCGAGGACTCCTGGGGTTGAGGTGGAGCACATGTGCATTCAGAGAGCCGCAAATAGGCTCATTGGCCTGCGGTCTTCAAGGTCATCAGACATGTGACCCAAACACGAACCTTCGGCAGCCGCAAAAAGGGCCAAACCGGGCTTGTCGGGGCGAACTCAACGTGTTCATTACAAAAGGAAAAGCACACGGTCCAGCTGACAAATGACATGTTTGCAAAATGATGCAAAAAATACTTTCAGAAAGTTTTCGAGGAGGGGGGGAAGTGTAGAGTAATAAATTATGTGTGAGTCTGGCAAGCCCCGTCTAGCCCTGCAGTGGAAACTAGAGATTTACACAAAGTGGCGCGGACGCACACTCGTAGATTGATAACTTGATAAAGCCGCTCACCTGCTCCTGCTACACAGCGTTTACCTGCCGCCGAGGGTTCAGCCTCAGTGTCTAACCCTCCCGTGTTGCAGCATAAACAGTCCCTCCGTGCGACAGTGTCAACAGTCCTCCCCATGCAGGAGCTGATTTGACTTGGAAAGCACTCTTCCCCGCATCCAGTGGTCACGGACCGTTGCTCAGGGATCGTAGTGTTTCTTTGACCGTATGTGAACCACATCACAGGGACGTGATGATCATACGCTCGCTGTACCAGGCAGCCCTCACGGCCACCACTTTACCATCCACCATCCATCACGAAACAGCAAATGATAGTTAGCTCCGTGAGTGGCATGAAAGAGTCGTTACATGCTCTGTTTTTTTTTTACCTCAGCCTACACACAACAAGGCCAAACAACTTTTCCTTTCAACTAAGCTACATGAACTGCGCACAGCCTTGTTAGTCTCCTCTGACTCATGCAACAAAATTAAAATGTGGTCGTCTTAATTGACACCAGTATTTTCAAAAAAAACAAAAACAAAACTAAACAAAAAAAGAGAACACTGTGTTTCCTAGGCAGGAGGGGAGCTTCTCGAAAGTCTGATAATTCCTGCTCTTGTAGTCTCATGTCAGTGTGCTTTATGGAAGCGAGGTCTAAAAGGCGTAGTTTTAAAAATAGGGGCAGACACGTGTTTATAATTAATTATGTTGAGTCTGACTTCAGTGTCATATGGTTATCTTTACTTCTCCACATGCAATCAGAAACAAGACAGCCATTTGCAAGAGTAACACAGAGCAGAGAGTGTAACGCCGCCGTGTTTCTGCTCAATGAACATTTTTAAAAGAACCTGACAACAGCCAGAATGTTTTCTTAATGTCTTGAAACAACAGCGCCGAGCAGACAGGTGAGTGAAACCTCTTAAAGAAGGGAGGAGGGGGGGGAACAGAAAAAGTCAGCTATTCTTGGAAAATCACACAACATGTCTGGTCTTTGTGTACGTACGCACGGCTCACTGCATTTACATGTAATGTAAATTGTGGACATTTTAATATATATTAATCATTAACCGCAGCTGGAAAGACAGGTAGAGCCGTGCCCAGATTGCAGGCTTGTCAGAGTGGAGCCACTGAATTGAAATGTTACAGATGAAGATGAGGGGAAAAAACACAGGGAGAGGGGTGGGAGGATTTATGATCGGCAGGGAATTCAGGTAAAAGGGTGGCTCTGGTTGCCTAGCAGTGCAAGGTTACATGCTACAAACTGACAAGTCTGAGGCAAGCACACATGCTCGGCGCTCCATTACAGGAAAAGGACAGGTTAAGCGCTTACAATTCCATCAGTCTGCAAGCCACAGTTGTTAGTCTGTCACCACAGGCCCCTGGGCAAAAAACCAGGAGCCGTTCCATTCTGGCAGGGAGAAACTCCCACATTAAAGATGACTGTCAAATGCCAACGTGGCTCTCAATACGCTGCTACCAGATGAGGTTAAGATGAGTCTCTTAGAGCAGCCACTACGCCCAAGGCTGCGCAACAGGTGTGTGTGTGTTTGCATATTTGAGTAAGAGATAGACTGGCAGAGGGAGAGAATGTGTGCGGTAGCCCCCACCTTCCTCCTTAATTCCTGCAGCCACATTTGAATTTTCTTGAGCTTGTTGTTTTAGCTTGCACTAAAGCTATGTCCTGGCACCGACTCCCCCACCACAGAAGAAGAAAAAGGCTGACACTCGGTTGGCTAATGCAACTTCTTCAGCTGACAGGTTCTCAAACAACAAAGCGTTTGGATTTTGTTGAGGTGGTGGGGGGAGGCGGAGGGATGACAGGGAGGAGGGTGATGAAGTGGTAAACTGAAGGAAGGTGATACGCTTATATCCACGCCAAGCTCAAACGCTCCCAGTGAAGACAAACATGCAACAACACAAACCTACTGTTACAGGACACAGTGTGTGGTGTGTAAACCTACCCCCAACACACACACACACACACACACACACACACACACACACACACACACACACACAGAGTGAAGACACAAGGTGAGGTTGGTCATTTTTCCTTTTTATTTGTTACCAATACGTACAAGCAGTCTTCCAAAAAAAAAAGCTCAGTTTTTAAAATGAGTTTAAAAGTGAAATTAACACAATGAGAAGCTTAAAAAGTAAGGATATAAAATTCATGACATATCAGGCAAAAAGATATTCGTTAAAAACGTTGCTCGACAACATCACTGCTGGAATTCTTAATAAATCGCTAGTGTTTGCTGGAGACACTGTTAAAATCGGCACTGCTGGCGTGATCACAGTTTTATATTTGCTTTCATGAATCCGTGTCATATACAAAGATGTATATGTAGTATGTATATAATGTCAATGTTGAGGACAATGTGTTGCAGTGAGTGTATTTATGATTTTCTACGGCCAGCGCACTCGGCTGTTTTGTCTCTAAATTTATCGTAGCTCACATATCTGATATCAATAAATCTTTCCATACAAAAGATAATCTCAAATTGTAACTTGCTTAAGCGTCTGTTTTGCAAATTTCCCTGCTAATTTTTTTTTAACCTAATATATACTTCATGTACTACTTCAGGTCTGCAGATATTTTTGGTTTACTAGCCTCATAGATGTTAATTATGTCAAAGAAAATGATGTAAAAATGGCGTTTAGTTTAACAATTTGGCCACAGATTAACCCTCTGAACCTTCAAACCCGCGAGCAGGACTGAGAGAAATTTAAAAGCCTCATTTGGGAAAAAAAATGTGTTTGCTATAATCGCATTCTGTTAAAAACAAAATAATCTGTGCTCAGTGGTGCAACAGAGAAGCCGTTGTTACCTCTGCTGCAACCAACAGTCACAAAAACTGAGAGTTTTCAGGTGGACTCGGCTGAACTGCAGGCTGTGTTTACACAGAGCAGAGAGGAGCTTAAGTTTAAAAGTGTAAAAAGAAATTTAAAATATCTTTAGTATATGGAGAGCATTTTTTTCTAGTATTGGTCACACCTGTAGGAAAAATGTTGTCGATTCTAGGATTTAAAATTTTTTTGTAAAACGAGTAATCAAAGAAATGTAACTTTCATTTTTTCTTTTTTTTATGATTTGTGCCATCATATGTTTGTCATACTGTAAAAAGGACATTTTTCAGTTCCCTCTACTTCTAGAAATGTTTGCACCGCCTCCATGGAGGTGCAGGACTTTACACTGCAGTGAAAAATGAGACCACAGTGAGAAAAAAATGCAACAGGAGCAAAGATCGCTGAGAAACTGCTTGGGGTTCAGAGGGTTAATTACTAATACATACAGGCGTGTATGTATGCGTACGAATACACAGATGCATCACTCTGCAGTTGCTGTGAGTGTGTGAGCTGTAGCTGATTTTATGAACAGCTTCTGCAAAGATGGAGTTTGATGGATGATCCAGCAGAGCCACGTTTGTCTACAAAGAGACTCGTCTTCATTTGGTGTGTGTTCAAGTACTGATGTTTTTCATTGTCATGTAAACTCACCCTGCACTCCATTCTTCTGTCATTTTAACCGTTAAACCCCTGAAAATTCCCTTTACGTTTATTTTATCTTCTATAGAAATGTAACTATTTTGATGTAACACTAACTATTTATTGAGTTGATATTGATTAAATGTGGGTTGATCAGATTTGAGTCACTATCGACATCCCCAGAATTTGCTGTACTCCAACTGAAGCACAAAAATATGCGACTTCTTGTTTCTCCAAATGAGCACTGCCCACTTCAAACCAGTGAGAAGACCACACAGGAAAAACAAACAGAAGATAACCCATAAATATCTCATTTGAGACAACCCAAACCAATTTAAATTTGTAAGACAATAGTGTTCATGTTGGACTTCAGTGCAAGCAGCTCACTGAGAAAACAGGCTTTCGGGGGACTTTAAGACTTACTGTTAAAAACCTGCTTTCTATTAGAAATGTATTTGTCACTCTTCACATATCGCAGCTGTTCTTAATTCCTGAGAAGATGGCTTAGTGATGACGTCCTTCTTCCCTGCGATCTAAGAAATATTGTAATGCTGATTTGGTATGTTGCATTTTGGTCTGATGTGGTCAGTTAACAATACTGGCAATGAGGCACAACTCATAAGGCACTAATGTGGGTTTCCTTCTCTTTGGTTCTGTTACCAGTTTCTCTGCAGCCATCCAGACACGTATTCATAGACCAGCAGCATCACTGCTCCACCTGCAACACAACAGGAGACAGAAAAGAGACAAGTCTTTATTTGTAGAAAAAGGCAGTTTGAGCTAATCGGCCAATAGAAGCTGCCGGTTAACATCATGTGATCGAGTGAGTACGATTTCATGGGAAAACAAAGGAATATATTTTGCATCGACGGCTTGTAGCCACAGTCAACTGACAATATTCCCACTCAAATATTATATAGTTATGGGAAAGTATTATGCAAACATTGTTTTGTTTTGTTTTTTTGTTATTGAATATGTAATATGAAATATACAAAGTAAGAAACAGAAAGAAATAGTGCTTGTTCCAGCCTCGTTTCACTGGAAACGCTCATGCAAAGCTGAATATAGCAGTAACAGATCAGATAATCGACGTGGGAGTTCCTGGGCATAAAAACGATAGATTTCAGTCACGTACCAGCCTCAGAATCTGAAGGTCAAACTAGAACTGAAATCTTTTTCATCTTCTGTGACCAGGAATGTGATCATGACGATGATTTTAATATAAGTATTAAAAGCTTTGTTTTGGTTACCTGGTCCAAGTCTCATTATCTTGGGGACCAACCCCTTGTACAGTGCCAAGTACCTGCAGGAAAGATATGAGACAATAATAAACAAATAGAAAACACTGCTGTTAGGTTACAGTTGAGTATTTGCTGTGTTCATTCACATATCGTTAGCCTCATAGCATAATTGCCTAAGTCATTTTTTGGTCAAATTGAGATATTTGCTTAACTTTACTCTCCTATCACTTCTGCATCATCCTGTCTTTCTACCTATGTCACTGGCCAATCACATCTGGTTGAATGTACTGTTAAAAAATCAATAATAAATACCAATGTCATTTATAAAAATTGTGTTTTTTCTCATTTCCCAAAAACATGAAAATATGACTTAGGCAAGTATGCTATGAGGCTAACGATATGCAAGTTACTCTAGTATTGTACCAAAGTACTTCTCTTTACTAAAACTTTCTATTTCAACAGAGGCACATGTTGTGCACTTCATACTCCACTGCATTTATTTAGTAACTGAAGGTATCGGTTACTTTGCAGATTCAGAAATATTCATACAAAATGTAACCAGGTAGGTATCAGAAACATCATCTTAGCTGCACAGTTTTAAAGTACAGGATTTAAAATGCAGCCCACCTTTACCAGCAGCATCATTAAAGTGACAAACACAATTAAAAACAATTCCATCCTATCAGCTTGCATTCATTTTTGGTAACTTCTGGTCTATTTTGCTGCTTATATATTAGTTTTCTGATCTGACTCCTGCTTCCACCTCTGCATGTATAACCACAGCATGCATGTGCTCCTGCTTGTGACTCTATGAAAAGCAGTGGATTTGAATGCTTGCATGTCTGTCTGCTGACCTGCCTGTCTGTCACCCCATCAGGCGTATAGGTTTCTAACGGCCAGCGCTGGCGACTACCTGCTCCTTAATGCATTCAAGGTGATCAGTGGCTGGCTGCCTCCGCCTCGTGCTCCCTGTCCCGCTCCCTGCCCCCGCCACTGATGGCGTTAATAAGGCTCGACCCACTTCCTCCCTGGCCCTCTGTCTGATTAGATTGACCCGTGGAGCGCCGCGCGGCTCGTTAGGGTCTGCTTAACGACGTCTCCCATAGGGACCACTAATTAGCTGGGACTGTGTTGTGTTAGAGAAGGGGACTGGATGTGGCGGCGGGGGCACCCTCCACGCACCCCTGCGACGACAGCGTTTTCTTGCAGCAACCCCCAACTGCAAACTAACAACATCCACTAACTACAAACATGTCGCTGGCCCTTGTCTCGCGGAGCCGCATGGGGGGAAAGTGGAAAGCCTGGGGCAGCTGCTAACATAACATACATCTTTCCTTGAAGCTTCCATTTGGAGCTGTCATTGTCTGAGGCTTGAAAATATGTTAACATTTACTATACAGCTGACAGACTGCAGAAATGTATGATCAGACTCGTGGGGGAACACAGCCCACAGTCTAACATGACTCTTTGGTTTCCATTCATTGGATCACAGCTTTGCATCAAGCTGCACTTCCCCTGTACTTAGTGCAGGAAACTCACACCACGCAATCAAAGCCTGCTAACTTGTAGCTGCAGCTGCTACATTCGTCTTCCCTGACAGTCAGCTTGGCAGGTAACTAACTATCAATTGCTAACAAAACAGACAAAGTGGCTCATTATTTCTTGGATGCACCGCTGATTCAAGTTTTTGCGCTGATGATCCCCTCGCTACGTGTTCGTACCCTTCCTCGCGGTACACCAGCGCCATGGTCTGGAAGCAGGTGCGGTACTTGATCTCCCCGGGCACCGGCTGTGGGCCTTGGATGCGGCTCTTGGCGACGTCGAAGGGAATGTTCACGCAGGAGGAGATGGTCCCCGACACGAGGCCGATGGCAAACTTCCTCAGAAACTCAAGGGTGGGGTCCTGTGAAAGAGAAGACGAGAGAGTTTTACTGGAACAATTAGTGGCGCAAAACTTCAATAACACATAAAAAGCCTGCCGGGATTAAAAGAGAGCAGCGACAGTGAGTTGACAACGTCGGCAGTGGGACATGATGTGTGTACGTCTGCGAGCGAAAGTGAGGCAGAGCATGAGGGGGACTTGTGCATATGATTGCAAAGCTGGCATGAAAGCCCTGATCATTTTATGGTAGCGGGGGGCAGATTAGTGCTTCCTGACTGTGGTGCGGCGCTCTGATTGGCTGAGCAGAAGCACATGTTCTTCGGGGAGCCAAGACAGAGGATTTATAAACAGGGTTCATGCAGGCAGACTGGGGAGGCATATGGGGACAATTTGGGTAATTGGGCTGTGACTCGGCACAGGGGTATTACTGTACCAAAGAAGCCCAGACTCAGAGAGCTCTGACAGCTAATTGGCCAGGATATTTTTACAAATGACAGCAGCCTCTCTGGTCCAGGCCTTTCTCAAGCGGCTGGACACCCTGAGAGCCGTGGTAAATCAACAGCTAATCCCACTTCTTCTGTTTTTTTCAAGTGGGATGTGGGGAAAGGGGGTAACATAGCCACGGCCTAAGTACACCCATCAACCCACTTCCTAACAGCCTTAAGCAAACATCTCCTCACACATTCGCTCGTGAATGATGGCAGTGTGCTATCTGCCTCCTCCGTGCTATTCAAATGGCCTCATGAGAGGAGCCCGGGCTCGGCAGGTCGAATTTGACTACGGACACGTCTGAGTTGCAAGCTCGTTGCTCATGTTGCTGACAAAAGGGGCTGCGGGGAAAAGCCACCGACTCGGCCTGCGAGTTGTCACCGGTGACAATATTTATTCTCTGCTGCCTGAACAATGGCAGTCGTGAGAGTCTCCCAAACAAGATCGCTCCATCAATGTACACACCGACGGATCGTTCCCAAAAGGCCACGGCCACAATCTAAGAAGAGAGCTATTTGAGTCATCCAGCCACATAATTATCATTTACAGAAGATGACCACTTGGTTCTCTGTATATCATGCGTCACTGGAAAAAATGTTGAAAATATAGCAGAGCCTGGCCTCCCACTGTAACCTCCTCTTGAAAATAGTACCGTTGTCTGCTTCCAATTAGTTCATTGGAGTTAATCTAATGCTCCAGTTTGTACATGTGGAACTGGCGTATGGTAACGTTTCCATTAAACAAAATTAACTTTTGTTTGGGCCATCAGGCTCTGCCGGATGTGTAATCTGAGACTTTGAGGATGTTATGAAGAGCAAACAGACGAGGTATTAGCCGGGCTGATCTTACAAGCTCCTCTCTGATTTTCGCTTCCTCCTTGCCATGGAAGTCAGACTGACTAATCATACTGTTAAACACTTGCTATTCCCCCTCCAGCGAGGTGGCTGAGACACGTGCGTATCATGTAGCCTGAGGTTAGCAAAAACTAAGAGTAGTCAAGGTTACCAACACCAAAACAGAGTGGTGTCAGTGTCGCTTGGTCTGGCCAGAAATACGTCAGATCATGGATTTTGATTGGCATTTTTACCGGGTTGGTCGGAATAGCATCCTTGACATTGAAGTAGAAGCCAAAGTAGATCATGTTGAAAACTCCGTGGCGTCCCAGCGTTGATGTTAATCCCTTGTTCAGGCCGTTCAATCCGAAGCCGTCTGACTTAATTATGCGTCTCGCTTGGGCAAATGAGGAGGGTTGCTGTGTCACAGAGATGGAATTCAAAAAGCAGGACATGTCAGAGGACTTCTAGAGAAATGTGCACATTACTAACACTTTACAAGTTAAGGCAGTATTTTATTTGACTCAACCTCTTTGAAGGAATCTCTGTTGGCCTGGAGACTGACTTTCACCACTTCGAACGGGTTGACGACAACAGCTTCAGTCAAGCCTGCACCGAGGCCTGCTGCAGACAGCGCCTGGAGGGGAGATGGACATGATTTAGGACTGAGAATGTGGAGCTAATATTAAGGCAGAGACACATCAGAACAGACAAACCGATGCAGACGACGAGGCTAAAGTGCAATTTTGCAGAACTTTGTCTCGTCTGAAATCAATATTTGCTTCTGTTGACAAATTGACAAATGCTTGAGGACACGCAGGGCAACTTTTGTGTTTGTTTGCATCTGACAAAACGCTACATGACGGATAGGAGAGAGAGAGGAAGCTCAAGGAAGCCCAAAAATGTAGAATAATCAATTACCTTTCTAAGAAACAAAGTCCTGTAACTCGTCTTGTCATCCGTCGCAGGAGAAAATCTAAGAGAATTTGTGAAAGTGGTTGCAACACTGCATGTATTTGCACTGACTGGGCTGTGTGTGCATGTGTGTGTGCGTGCTCAGAGAGAGGCGTAATGGGAACATGTCAAGAACGTGTCTATAGCTCATTACTCTTCCTGCCTCTTTATCCTGCTGTCAGGGCCCCGGGACCCATCCTCTCAGACATGCCTCGCGATGTTTACACAGCCAGCCCGCCACGTTTTAATTCCTTATTTGTATTATTACTGTGTGTGTCCTCATTAATCAGAGTGAAGGCATTCAGCTGTGCCATGCTGAATAGGAAAGAGAGAGAGAGAGAGAGAAAGAGGGAACCATTCAGTCTGTAATTCACCCTCGCTAATGATCTGATGTGATTACACTACTTGATATGCGAGGGCCTCTGGGGGGGAAAACGGGGTTAGAGGCACTTGAGGAAGAAGGAAGGGCAGGAAGAAGATAGCGAGAAGGAGGTGTAGGAGGACGGCGTGATGGATGGGGCAGGTAAACATTTCTCCACCGATGGCTGTAAAAACAAGTCGAGGACGTTCGCCGTGCCGAGGCGGCTCCGACGATGAGGTGCAGGTAGAAGCCATCCATCACGGCTGACACCTGGCTGCCACCTGAATAGGCGGTGTGTGGTGACCGCACCCGAGCAACGCGAATCTGTCTAGCTTAAAAACTCTGACTCAGTGTAACAGAGAACCCAAGGAGGATGAAACCACTTTGTGTATTCGCGGCCTGTGGTGGAACCAGTCGGGAGAAGTAACAACCGCCGAGTAAACACGCAGCCGAGTCCGTCTATAGGGATGGCGTTATGGTTTAGATGATTTTGGCTTCGCTCCAGCGTCCTGGGTTTGAAATTAAACAATGACTATGAGGTTTTAGTGATTAGGTTCAGCTTTAGAAGACGTCTCGTGTGTTTGCGTCCTCATTGTGAGGTATGACGCCTTTACATCCTGGCGACGATGAAAAAACACAGCAACAGTTCTTACCGGATGCGTCTGATATGCGTGAACGCAACTGAATTAAAACCAGGAAGACATTGAACAGAGTACGACGGATTTGAATGATTTTTTTAAAAATTCTATTTAATTTTACTGATATCGCGCCACTTCACAACATGTGTTACCTCATAACACCTGACATAGGTGTGGTAGGTGAAGGTGACCTTACAAATTTTAAACAGAGAAACCAATAATCCAAAGTTCCCTCTGGATTCCCTTTGTGCCAGCACTGTTTTTAGAATCGGGACAAGTTTCTGCCAGATTAGTTGCTGATGATATTTAGTTTTTGGGAAGACACAAACCCATCGCCAACTGAATAGAATGGGAATCTTGGTGGACTTTCTTGCAGTTTGCAGTTCCAAAGTCTGATTTCCCACATGGCTGAGATCTCTAATGAGTTTAATTTAAGTATACTTGCGTAGTATTTTACATGTTGCTAGAACTGTAGTCTTGACAGATTGGGTGATTTAAACTACGAAACTTTTACACCAACGAAACACTGTTGATCACTTTCTTTTATAGACTAAAATCCTTCCTGTGAACATAAAGTTTCTTTCCTACCTTGGATGCTTCCTATTTTTTCTACCATACTCCTTGTTAAGGGTCGGCCGATTTGGCTGATACCAGTATCGAAGTTTAAAAATTTTGAATGCTACCAACTCCAACGCCAAGCTTTACTGAAAAATCTTTTGTATTTTTAATTAAAAGAGAACTTTTCAACATTTACCCACCAGTATTAACATGCTATTACTCATGATGTGTAACCAATCAGATTTACAGATAACTACTGATAGAGAGCTGCATCAGAGCCAAAGTAGCACATTTGAAAATGTATTTATTTTACTGGGAATTGGTTGAAAAATTAAAAAAACAATACAGAAAAAATGCTGAATATTGAATCCGATAATTGGTCAGACCAATAATCAGTTCAGCTCCTTGTTGCTGTAGCTGGCTTTGTCACCGTTGCTGCAATTCCTCTTCAGGTCTGACAACCCAGTTAATGCTAGTTGACGTAAAACTCTTTGCTATTGGTCTACCAGTTTGGGAATGTTTCTGTGAGATACTGAAAGATTTACCTGCTGCTGATACGCTTAAGCAGCATCATGTGAACTTGTTTGGCACAAGCTTCGATGTAATGGATGTTCTTTTATTTGTAAAAGTCTTGCACTCCAACTTTAAGGCTGAACTTTGCAGGAGACAGTGTAGAACTGCACAAAGTAATGCTACTTTTTTGTTGTTGTCGTCTGCCGTGAGTGACGAGAACACAGGCATTTGTTTGCATAAACTTCATTTGAATGGTTCATGGACCAAACTCGACTGGGGGTTCCATGATCACGCTCCGTTGACGCCCGACTTTGTCAGGAGAGTTAAAGCTGCTGCACAGAAAAGCTACATACAAGAATGATAGATATCTGCCAACTTTAAGTCTGCTGCTGTAATCCAGGATTACACTGGAATGCATCATGAGTATTTACAGTATTTTGTTTCCACCCACTTTTATATCAAAATTAAAAAAAATAAAAAAAATAAATCAACATACATTCCCACACGCTGCGAGGCAATAAAATTAAACCAAAAAAATGCCTGTATGTAATAAAAATGGCTCCTGACAAGCTGCCAGTTACAGTGGATTAACTCAGAGCGGCAAGAACCGAACTTCTGTAAACTGTTTTGTAAGCGCTCTGCTTCTAAAGCTCACAGGGAGACATGAAGTCAGTAGTTTCACCAGCTGATGACCAGCCGAGTGCCAACTACACACCCAGCCACCAACAATAGAGGCCATGTTAGCATTGTGCTTCATACATTCCTACAAACATGATTCAGAATCATATTGGCAGTTGTAATGACACAAATTACACAATAGTATGTTGATTTGTTCACGCCGTTTGTCGCGGGTCACACACCTGACATCACTGTGTGTCATCAAAGATGCTTTTATATGAGCTTAATGTGGAACAAAGGTGTTGTTTTGATTTAATCCCTTTTTGCGACTACGTCTCTTCATCCTGTTCAGTGTGAAATAGCTTTATGATTAGGCAGAAAAGCTGTGTTGTATTTGTCGTAATTATATTAAATAATAGTAAAAATGCAATAATAAACTACGCACATGTTTTTTTTAGCCTCACATCAGCAGAAACAATACGCAACCAAGAATAAACTGACCACCAACCTCCTGTCTTAATGTATTCATGAATTACACGTATTTGCACTTGAAAACTTTACATTAGCAGGGAAATTTGCATTTTAATTAATTCATTTGGCCGGTAAAATTATTCTTGGCATTTACTTGTGTTGTAAAAACCTCGTGGCAGGTGAGATGAAATGTTGATTTTTTGACACTGGTGGGACATTCTTGCCGGTCCTCTGAATGTATGTGTGTTTATTTTTTCAAGCGAGAGTGTGTTCAGGTGTTTCTGTGCGCAAAGACTCACCACGGCAGGAGACAAAGGGGTCAGATTCAGCAGCTTCTTGTACTGCTCAAAGGTGAAAAACTGCAGGGGAAAGAGCAGAGCGAATGAACGAGCATCATAATGAGACACGCGCATAAAGACAGCAACAGGAATGAAGTCTGTGAAAATGAAGTCTATGAAAACTGTGCTGTGGGCCTCAGTCTCCCTGGAAAGCAAGAAACCTAATGGACAGCCCCCAAAGGAGACATCCACTGATTTGTTTATCTGAACAAAGGGCAAAATGCCAGCAGAGGCGACTTAATCGGAGCTTTAATTTACTTTAATTCTTCGCTCCAGACGTTACTCGCCATCAGCGAGCTTTGTTCGCTGCGTGAGCGATTACCCCATCTTCTCAGTGTGAGTGCTTATTTTGAAAGTTCACACAACCTCGTCTCCAGCATCTCATTAGCCATGTGCCTCCTGCCGACCCCCCCCCCCGCCCATCCCTGTCACTCCATTACAGGAGAGAGATGCTAAGCCTCCGTACAAATCTCAAAAGATGGCGCTCAGGGGATGAATGCTTGTAAGTCAATATTTGGCAGGCCGGCAGAGCAAACAGGAGTGGCTGAGGAGGCCGACATGGCGGAGGGCGTCGTGGCTTTAATCAACACGTGTGTACCATGTTAAAGCAACTGCGGTTTGAGTGTTTTCATATGGCAGTGGAGCAGCTCGCTATGAAACCAGATCCTGAGCGTCGCAACGCACACAGAGGAGAAGCTTTGCAGCTTTCTGTGGACAAACATGCACATCCTGAACCTCACCTTGACTGCTCTCTTGGGCGTCTCTGCCAGAATCGGAGGTAAAATTCCCTTGTAGAAGCCGAAGACTCTGTAGAAAGAGAAAACAACATGTTGCCGTGAGTCCAGTCAACCGCTGGGTTCGTTTCTTATCAACAAGACATAAGAAATAAATTGTTTGACACCAGAACTCCCCAAGTTGTGTGATTCATCGCTGTGAACATTAAAGTCTGCATTCATTTTAGTTTTATATTAAAGCTTCTCTCTGGTTGTTGATTTAACAACTCAAACTCAACTCTGTGTATCAAAGTTACATATTTAGAATTTTTTTTATGTTAAAGCAGTTTAGCTATAACTATACACTGTGTCTCTTCACCCCAGTCAGGGCAGCTCGAGCACACCAGCTCACCAACAACTCTGCTCCAACGCTGTAAAACTAATCTGCACTACCCCGTGGCAAGTTGTAATGTTGGAGTAATACATGTTAAAGCTGGAAACTGACTCTGAAGAAGAAAATTAATACAGAAAACTCCACTCTGCATGTCTACAGGGTTGCTTCTTCAGGTTAGCTAGGTATGAAACCCCGGAAGTCTGGATTCACATCTTTAAAGTTGTCTTCATTACGGGACAGTTCCAAAGTGGCGAAGCTTCACAATAGAATTGACAGTTTTTGTTGCTCATGATTTATATCTTCCAGCATTTTTTCCCTATTAACATATGGACATATTAAGATACATGGAGGTTATTCAATGTGCTTCACAATAATACTGGCTGTGATCATTGCCTCCCAGTAACAATGCACCTTCACTTGCTTTTAACTACATAGATGGGAGGACAGAGCTGCAGGGTGGAGCGGTGGTTAGCACTGGTGCCTCGCAGCAAGAAGGTCGCCCGTTCGTGTCCCGGTGAGGACACCCGGGATCTTTCTGCGTGGAGTCTCCATGTTCTCCCCGTGCAGCGTGGGTTCTCTCTGGGTTCTCCGGCTTCCTCCCACAAGGTCCAAAAACATGGACCTTAACTGGTGATTCTAAATTGTCCGTAGGTGTGAATGTGAGTGTGCTTGGTTGTCTGTCTCTAAGTGTAGCCCTGTGATAGACTGGTGACCTGTCCAGGTGAACCTGCCTTCGCTCTTAAGTCAGTTGGGATAGACTCCAGCCCACGTGAGGATTAAGCTGTGTATAGACAATGGATGGATGGATGGATGGATGGATGGATGGATGGGAGGACAGTGAGGCAAACAGAGGGTAAAGACACAGTTTGGTTTTCTTGTTATTTTGGGAAATTTTGAAAAGAAGAACCATTTTTGTTCACAGTGCGTAAGTTGAAGTGAACAGTTTGTCTTTATCAAGTAGTCCTGAGGATAATTTCTTCTGCAACACGTGCTAATCCGCGACATGGAAGACCACAACGCATCAAATCCACCTCATGTCTAAAAATGGAATAAATAAGCCGCGTTTGCAAACCGGCCTATTCAGAGCCAATATGGACTAACACAAGATAAATACCGTCAAACAACACTTGCTCACAACGAGGCTACAATGCAGACAGGCGGCGAACACATACGCAGACATGTGTAAACACACGCTAATGAAGCTGCAGAAGGACGGAGGCCACAAAGAGCACTGAAAGATGCACAAGTATGAACGTACGCGACTGTCTGGCTTGTTCAGCAGCGCAAGATGTTGTAGCCGGAGCTGTAAAATGTGGTTTGTCTGGCACAGATAACAGATTTTTTCTCTTTTTTATCATCAGAGCACTTGATTTATTTGATTGTTGTCAGATTGTACACAGGCTTCCAACAAATATAGCGAAACAACACCACTGGAATACACTGCATCTCCCGTCTTTAAGGCTTAAAATCGCAACCGCCTCGGTATGGCATTTTCTCAAAGACACGCTTACGGCAGTCAGAGCTGTGACAATACCAAATATATAAACTTCAGGAGCAGCTCGCAAAACAGAAACACACAGTATATTGCTGCTGTCTGGCAACATAACTGCTAAGATATATTTTCAAACCACAAACCCCTGGTAAACATGCTCTGCAGGAGTACGCTGAGGAAATGATTTAGGAGTGTTTTGCGGCATTTGATATGCTGGATATTTCAAAAGACGGTAGCTGTATAATTTTAGTCAATTTGGTAGTTTGCCTTTGCTCAATCATACGTCCAGCCATGATTTAAAGAGGACGCAGAGCCAGGAAAAATAATAAAATGATACAGTGAGTTATGCATATTGAGATGTATGCCTGTATATAACACAGGCTATATATTCGCTTTCACGTAATGCATTTAGACGCTGAATAGACGGCTTGTTAGACTGCTGGTTTGACACATTTACACACTAATTAGATGTTTTTAAATCGCACACAAACATCGTCATGATAATCCCTTTCAAGTGTTGAGAATCTTGCAGAATAAAACACCTCAATCTGTGAAATTGACCTTGGAAATTACAATATTTTACATTTTTCTTTTTCTGTGTCGAGGTGAAGCATTGCAGACAGGTAGCACGTTTTGTTTTGCAAAGAGAGCACAAAGCGTGTTTCGTACACATTTAGAAGTGCACACGCATGCGTTTTCCACGGCCTTCATTTGAGTGAAAACACGGGAAGAACAGTTCATTCGTTTGAACTTTTTGTCGACACCAAAACGCCAAACTGGAAATGTCAGACCGCTTGGCAAGCAAAGAAAATTACCCAGAAACGAGGTTCAAATATTTTCTGTGTAAATGTCACACTGCAAGTTTCTCTTTTATTTGCATTTGTCAAACGGTGTGTGTCTCATACACCTGAACCATCAGATACTATTGAGTCATTAGCCTTTTGTGTTGATAACAAACTGTCGCTGGCAACAGCTAACTACTTTTCTGCTCTCTGTCATTCCTAAATGTTGTCATAAGGGGACTGCCTGAGAAAGAAACAGGTAAAACAGGTCTAAATCAGCAACACAACGAGAAACAGCAACGAGAGCATCATCTCACATTTTGGAACTAATGTGTATGTTTAAGAGCATGTAGGGGTCAATTAAATAATTATCTCCACCCAATCCGACACATGGGAACAGGTCGGGGCTTCTCGATACAAAGGAAGGTGCCATACATCATGCCTCCTCATTATCCTCTCTGACACATATTTCACTTGTGATGTAAATTACCATTTGTGCTTATTAAAACTGAATTTTAGTGTTGAGGCAGGCATGAAGCTGAGTTCAAAAGGTGACGCTGAGAGAACAGAAACTCAAACCAATGTGTAAACAGTCAACAAGCGTGTTGCCATGGAGGAATTGCATTTTTTTGCAGTCACCAGCTGTCAAAAAGCTCTTCAGACTTCCACACATCCTTGTTTATTTACAGATGTGACATTTTCCACAAGCGCGTATTCTATTTTTGGAAAATGCAAAATGCGCAACTTGTTCAGTAACATTTCAGAGCTTCCTGAGTTTTGTCCGATGTCATTTTTTACATTTTCTTGAGAGCAAGATAAACAAACAAAGAGCACTTCTGGTGAAACTGCACAATGGACTTGATTAAAATTTAGCAGACGCTTTTATCCAAAGTACATCCGAGAGCAGATACAACACAAGCAAGGATCTAGTCAGGAGAAAACAATCTAGATAAGTGCCACAGAACAAGTTCAGGTGTGATTTATTGAGTGTTATTAAAATATAAATCTCATAACTCATTTTTCACATTTGGATGCTGATTTCATGACACTAATCTTGGGTGCTCACCTGTTTATACTATTAAATATATGAATCTGGACAGACATGGATGTCAATTTTAAACTGTAGTGTAAATATTTAAATTATACCCCCTTGCCATCAATATATCATCCCTAAAATTACGAAAACAGGCTGTGAATTTACATGTCTCATGTGAAATAACATTAAAAAAACACTTAATACCTGAAACAGTTTGATTCAAGTAAAATACTGTTATTATATATTTCTAAGAGTAGAAAGAATTAATGACAGTTAACAGGAAGAGGTGTTGTTTTTTATTTTACACAATTTTTTTGCTTTACGAGAAATATCT